ATGCCAGTTCGAATTTCACATAAAGCATCATTTCCCTTAATATAAAATATTTATTTGGCTTATGGATGCCGACTTAAGGAAATTCTAGATCAAGCAGGACATCCTATCATTTGCCTCTAATGATTTAACAAATACATTGATATATGGTACTAATTTGAAGACATAATATTGACTGATGTTAAGGAAAGTAAACGTATTTAAAAATATATGATCGAAAAGACGGTAGATGTATGCATGAAGAAGTAATCTATTATATTGAATTTCATCACGATCATTTATTTGAGTTGGGAAACCATCCCCGCTGGAGCTGTTTTCATAACAGACACTAATACTTCAAATAAAAAAACATTAAGGCGAATGAACCAGAAAACTGCTATTTTGTTTAGGCTTTCTAATCATCAGTAGTACACAATCATGAATCTAATAGAGTTAAATTAAATAACACTAAATCTAACTGAAGTGCTGTATAGGTAACTGTCTAAGTTAGCGTAATACTAATATGACATCATCATCATCATCATCATCTTAAGACTAGAATATTTCTCTTATTGAATAGAGGGATTTATTTTGTCTGTTTAAAATCAACATAAATGCTTAGATATAATATACATCGTTTAAACAGAAAACGCTACACCTTGTGATTGACTAAGCAACCTAATCAATAAAACTTTATTGCATGGAAAAAATTAAAATGCAAACTTACAGTGGTTGCGTTCTGGTACCAAATTTTTTACCAGTGTCCACACGCTCTGTTAGTTTATGATAGAAATTATATATATATATATACGATTTATTAAAAACAGTCTTGGTAAACAATAGTCAGGTATGTATGAGAGGTGGTACGAATTTTCTGAATATCTAGTGAAGATTTATCGGCTTGTTTAGTAGTGCCTATCTACCAATGATAGTTTCAGAGGCATTTTATACTATGTTCTGTAATAATGATGTAATGATGTCATTAGGTAATGATAAATAACTCCAAGACATGAGAGTCTGAATCCTATTTTATACGAGGTGGACAAAAATTAAAAAAAAGCGGACATTTGATGGATAAATCATCCGATCATCAATTAGTCGATCGACAGTTCAAAACCTACATTATCTACATCGATCTGTACGTCCTTTAGAACTAAATCTTCATTCAAATTTGGACATATAATTAGTTAATTAATCTACAAGTTGAATCACTGAATATATACTGATATAACTTGACAAACTTCAATATCAAGCTACTTGTATATTCCATAAATGTTTGAATTATATTTCGCTATGTTATTTCTTAAAACATCTGTAAGTAAATCATAATTATTTTAAAAGATTTTACAGTTTGTATGGTATAAATAAAATAACATTTACAAACTATATATACATTCAATAACTAAAGTGAAATAAAGATGATTGGGAAAACAGTGAACAACAGATGTTTAATTTAGCGAAATAGAACATCTTGACAAAGTAGTCATAGATTTTTGGACCTCAAAAACTTGTTACATTCACATGATTCTTTTTTCTATTGAAGTATCCATTATTAAATGTGTAGGTGAAATCATTTTTCTCTTTATTATGAAAACTTAATCTATAAACTAAAAACAGCATGTTGTCAAATTGGAAACTATTCAGATCAACCTCTTATTCGGTATTACAAACTTGTTGTTGATAATCAAATCTGAACTAATGAATCACTGTTAAGATATGGGTTACATAAATGGAAGTTCCAGTAGTGAGTAGATTTATAAGATAACTATTTAGTTTAGACAATAGCCAACTAATGGACTTCAAAATGTACAATAGGTTTTATTCGAGACTTTTTAAATAGATGTACATATGTATTCGAAGTTCCGTAACTGATCACTATGAGAATATAATCAGTTTAAAACATGTAAATTTCGACTGAAATTGATGAATCCAGTTAATTTCATGATATACATATGATAAGTAGTGTTGATTTTGATTTAGTATCTTAATAGGACACGGTATATTTAAGGCATTCAGTCTTAAATTTCTATCACAACGGAAATATTAACCCTGGAGAGCAAACACACGTAGTTCATAAGTTCTAAATAGGATAAAACGTTGGACTCTCCAAATATGTAGTGAAAGCCTATATTCTGACTAGATATTTCAACTAATTTTATCTATCTGTAATTTCATCCTTTATATAATGATAGATATTTCAAAGTGATCGACAACTCAAGTGGGAACAACCAATCTATTATTTCATGTTCAATCACACAGTGCTTTAGCAGTATGTGAAAATCATACATCAAATATATCATTTGCACATGTTTGAATTGTCTCTTACAAGCTTCATTTTTCCTTCATACCTGCTTATGTCTTGATTGATTTCAGCTTCGCTCTCTCTCCTCTTCAATTCAATCTTCTCAACTTTCTGCACTTAGACATTCCACCGCTGCCCAGTGTTACATACTACTTATATCTGTTAGTACAATTAGCATACATCAAAGTGTTAGGTTAGCGATTTTTGACAAAAAAGCCTGCAAACTATTGGATACAAGATTATGAGTGATACTTAACATAAAGCTCATTTTTATTACTATAGATTGTGTAATGTTGCAATCACTTGCACGTGCTACATTATTTTGTAGAAAAAAATATTGAATGAATAATATGATCTTATTTCGTCAGAACCATGAATCAATCTAAGTTAGACCGCCATATGAAACTTCTCAGGAGTGCGCATCCACGATCCTGCACTCGGAACTCGAACCCAGTACTCACGGTCTCGCGCGACAACGCTTAACCTCTAGACCACTTAGTCAGCATCGAACAGTGTTAATGTTTAACTTTACTCGATCCATAATCTTGTGTGATCATTCATCCAGTGTCATGGGCTCGAGTAGTTCGTGAGGGATTGTGGATGCGCACTGCTGAGGAGTCCCATACTAGGACGAAACGGCCGTCCAGTGCTCCCAGGTTTTCAATAGTGGTCTAGCTTCAACTGACTCATGAGTTCAATCTGTGAAAATTCATAAATGTTGTTGTTGTTTTACGTTTCAGTGGTCTAGAATATACTGTCACTTATTTTAATTATATATATATACAAATATATATATATATATATATATATATATATATATATATATATATATATATATATATACAAATACATATATACAAAGCTTAACAAGATGAATATATTTGAAAGTTTTCAGTTCTATTTAAATTATATAGTCATGTTCGATGTTTAGAGGTGGATAACAAGAAACCCTGAACTTGAGTCTCTGGCTATTTCATACCCGTCAGTAATGAATGCTTCTAGTCTGAAGATAATTACTAAGCCATAATGAGCTGAAACTCAAGTAATTCAAATCCACAGTCTGAGGCGCAACCACTGATCTATTCGGTCTTTTATGAATATTTTGAAAATTGAGATATTTGCAATTGATTAATCACTTAGTAGTGACCTATGTTATGATTGTCTAGTACGGATACACTCCTACCTATATGATAAAATTATTTCACGAATATTAATCAGTCACATTCTGTGGGCATGTTTATATAACCTTGCACTTTTATGGTTATTTACATTACTGACTGATTTTTCCCAAGAAAATAAAGTTAAGGTTGATTTTTTTTCTCTAATATAAGTGGTTCGATCATGATGCTCTTATCGAACTTCCGAACAACATCACTAACATATATCAAGTAGAAGCGAGTTATTCGAATTTATCCACTTATAACTGTTAGCCTGTTCTGTTGACTTTGATATTGATCGGTTATTGCTAATCTTTATCCTGTTTTTATCTGCACATTTGAACTCAGGTCAATCAGTAATCAATAAACACATAGAAATCGATCCAATTTATCAATCAATTAGAAAACCCATGGACAAACAATGAACCGAAAAGGAGGGGAATAATCACAATTAATATGCAGATAAAAACAGGATAAAGATTAGCAATAACCGATCAATATCAAAGTCGACAGAACAAGCTAACAGTTATAAGTGGATAAATTCGAATAACTCGCTTCTACTTAGTCTATGTTAATGATGTTGTTCGGAAGAACAATAAAAGCTTCATGATCGAACCATCTATATTAGAGAACGAAACAGCCTAAATCATTCATATAAGCTACAAATCTTCTCCATCATCTGGAAATCTTGAAGTACTGGATAGTTCTGTCGTACCTCAGTAATGAATACCAACAACATCCCATACCTTCATGTCGTATTGAGTACGTTACTCTTAGATCACTGAGTTAAAATTCAGTGATAAATATTTCTAGCTACAGTTTACTCGGAATAATAAACAACGACCATGTGATGCCATCGGTAATATCAGCCTCATTATCGAACTATATCACTCACAGTTAGTCTTGTGAAAACTATATTCAAGTTAGAAGAGAAAAGCGTATTTCAACTAGTGGGTTTAACTCTGAAACTTTACTTTGGTTACTTTACTTCATTGAGTTAAATGTTACTTAACAATGTTTCTCATAGAAAGTATTTGAACAAAACACCTAATACAATTGTCTTTGATATTTTTATAATACTAGTCAAGTTAAATTATGCTTCATACATGCACTACCTAGTTTTAATGTACAGAGATAGATTTTGTCACTTAAAATAACCATCAGTATAAGATACAATATAATTTTTATGAACTAGTCAGTGAAATATCTATAATGTAGAAATAGTAGTTTGCCATAACATCATTACTTAGTATATACTATAATAATATAAAGCTCAATCAAATTAAAGTAATTCACTAGTTTCATAGTCATTCGTATATGATGAGCTGTCTTACCATAGATTTGTACTTTTACCTACAATATGCAAGATATCTTACAAGAAATATAGATAAGTTATTCGCTGTTAAGTTCAATTTCAATTTAATCATATAGGATTAAGTTTAATCTATACATTAGTTTCTAATCACAAAGCATAATGTTAATCTCCTTCTGACAAGTGACCAATGCACAAACATAGGAAAATTAGGAATCATAAAGAAAACCAAAGAATATTGGAGGTAACCTACCGTCATCTGAATGAATCGCTTCACTATATAGTATAATTGAATAAAATATCAAGGTGACTTGGATAGAATACATGCTCGATTTCAGGAAATATTTCATATTATGACAATCAATTAATTAAATTAAGTTTGTAAGAATTTAGAATTTTCTAAATAAAAGCTGTGGTTGATTTGATTGTGGAGTATATATATGTGTGTTTCAATAATCACTTCCTTATTTTTAATTCAGCATCCAATATTTTAAACTTATTCTCCAGATATTCTGTTCGCTTGATTTGAGTTGTTTTTGAATTTCAAAGTTTCTGACCTATAGAAGATGCGCTACGTCAGATTATGAAGGTGAACCAACAACAATAGGCTTTGTAAAAAGTAAATTCTTGTCTTTTTGAAGAAGGTAATCTGTTTTATAACCAATTTTGTAAGTTTGTATTTATCTAACCAGTTTCTTTTTTTCTGTTATTTTTCACTAGTTTCTAATCTTGCAAATGTATCGTGATAAACCAGAAAATAGCACAATGATATCCGATTGGATTAGAGTTAGTGTAAATTTCCCGTCTGTTAATTGGCACTGTGAATTAACCAATCAATTATGAAGAAAACTGACAGAATGGTACAGGATATAAGAAAAGCTAAATAAAAGATTTCCTGAAATTATGTTGTGATATATATATACTGTAATGATATTTTTCTGTGGGCTGATATATATTTACTACCTATTGAAGATTAAGAATTATTTGATGGTTGCTTAGTTTAAATTCTTAACGTTTTAGATACGGACGCTCACAAATGTATTCAAGAATGAACCTTGAAATTCACAAATAATCGCGGTTAGTACAATACCTTAAAACTTTCGAAATGGAATATAATCATTAACGATAATGAAATAATCAAAGAAAATTTATTTCCTAGCATATTTTGTATACACAAACATATCAGTACGTATTAATTATCAGTTTAGGGTTGTGCAGATTGTTGAGTTTCTATTGGGATCATAAACCGATCAACGTTAGATCACCATCGGAAACTTGAAAACACTGGACGGCCGTTTCGTCCTAGTATTGGACTGCTCGACAGAATGCATCCGCGGTCCCTCACGCAGGACTCGAGCCCAGAGCCTTAGGTCTCGAGCTCATGCTTAAGACCAAGACCACTCAGCCGGCATCCAGAATATAAATTTACACTTTGTTATGTGGTGGGCGAGAGCCGACTGGGATCTCTGAAACTAGGTTTCATAGTACTTTGTGCTTGTCAGTTTGTAATCTTAAGAAAACTGAATACCCCTGTGGAATCTAAACAGATATGTTTTTGCACACAACTTAATTCCGGCCTTTCTGTTGACCACCTCGACGCACCTAACATTCCAGCTTAGTGCGAAACTGAGTCACTCAGATGTAATCGACAGATTTCGATAAGTCTTAAAAAATTTAGACAAACTGATAAGTCTTGTCGATCGAACGCTATATTCGTTTTCCTAAGCTATTCTGGTAAACCGCCGTCTAGAACTACACATCGACATGAACACCAGAGAGAAGACACAAGTATGAGAGGAAATACTTTATCCCAAGGTTCATTCTTGTACAGAAAATCATGGGTATTTATAGATGTTGACGTCTGTTAAATCAACATCATTTTTCAGCCAATCCGTTAACGACATATTATGCACCGACAAATAGTAGCACGCCACGCTGGAATTCTCGAACATTCCATCATACTCTGATTGGCTAGGACCCTTCAGTTCCTTTTGGGCATCTGGAGGCTCCGTTGAAGTTCTCCGGAAGCCGACTCAACACAAACATGGAACTGGTCACTATTCCATGACCAATCAATTGTACAGTATGTCTTTACCTAGTATTCTAAGGTACTGTTTCTCGATTGCTCATTGCTTCAGCTCGCCGAAATCAGTGACTTTAGTCTATTAATCGTAAAAATAAGGATTCATTTAAACTGGACCTGGATTTTATATCATAAATGTTAATTACAATAACGATCACTCTTATACAAAAGCTTGAATGTGGCTAACAATGGAATCTTAGATGCATATGTTGTCCCACCTAAGACTCATCATTTGGATGTACCTGCATTCGGGTTGATGTGACTCCGGAATTGGAACTTAGAACTTCTCGATCCAAAAACCTAATCATCCCATTAGTTACTGAATCCAGATGCACACTCAGTTCTGCAAAGCATTCAAGTTTAATTTAATTTATGAGGTTTTTTAAGCTATCCCTTTGTTGACATTCCTGACGGAATTTCGATCAGTCATACTTGGTATACCTGCCTCCTGCTTGGGTGGTTTCAATATGGCCATTTTTCCACAAGTTTTATAGAAGAGAAGGTTTATGGTCGAAAATTCGTTCTTTTTAGAACTAGTCAGCTGGATATATAGTCCTTCAGGCTGATCAAGTTCTTTCTATCAAGCTGCAATATGATCATTCGTTCACTTTGTATTAATGTTGAGCATATTTTAGGGATGACTGCTCAAACTAATAAACTGGATGAAACATGTTTGAATTCTACAGGGATCATCAGTTACCTCAAGACTGCAGATCCGCCTTCTTGATAAATACCAACTAGCATATACTCAAGGTCAAGGGCTTTATCTTGAATATTACCAGTAATCTAATAATAAAAAGTTTTAGAATATTATCACGCTCGGTAAGCCAACATAGATTTATATTTTCTACACACTCTACCAATAATCGTATCTATATATAGTAATTTGTACCGGTTATTTCAGATTTTTCTTTACGGGCTATTTAAAGACAGTTTCTTTTCAAAAATGTTGGTTGGACTTTTTCTGTGTTTACAATTATTTTGAACCGTGTTTTTATTTTTATCTGATTGGTTATCTTTACTGTGGTTGTTTTTTCACTTACTTTTGGACTTTATAAAAATATTTAGGTCACCCATGTGTAGCAATAATAATAATGATAATAATAATAATAGTAGTAGTAGTAATAGTAATAATAATAATAATAATAATAATAATAATAATATAAATATTCTACCTATTACCTTTTAGTAATAACAATAGCGGTTCTTTGATTACTATTTCAGTAATTACAAGTGCTTTAACAGAAAGTAGCATTTATTGAAACTAAAATTGCATAAGTAAATGTTTAATAAGTCCCCGGTTGTTTAAATGTTTTTCGCTACTATTTTTCCTATTTAATCTTTAACTAATCAAATATGAACAAGTGAACTTTTTAAATGGATGATGCTTAACTAAGTAAGAATTAAATTTTGTTTTTTCTACAAGACTATAGATAGGAAAATGACTATTGAGTAGTTTAAATGTTGAGTGATCTCTGTAAGGCATAAAGCTTCAGGTTTTGATTTATTGTTGATACTATATACTCAAACATAACGTATGAGAAGAAGATCAATCATAATTTCTCATATCAATTTAAGATGATCTTCGCTCGGTCAACTCAAGGCATTCTCGCAAGTTCTGTTCGTTAATTTTCAGTGTGTTCCAGTCGCATTTACTTATTTGATCATCAATAAATTTTGTCTGTTGTAATAATTATTTCACTGTGATTTTTCACTCAATGACAATTACTGAGTTAGTGAAACCCTGTGGTTAATAATCAATAAATCAATGTGTAACTGAATTAGCTTGAATGTAAGTTCAGCCCCATTTGGTGTCGTTCAATTAATCTTCTTAATAAGAATGGATTTCTGGGGCAGCTGAGAGCTGAAAGAGAGTATATAGGATATCGTATTGTCCTTAGTATTACCGCCGCGGTTCGTTCTTCTGCAACACGATCTCCGAAGGTTTTATGGATGCTCGATGTTGACTTGTCTCATATTAGAAAGAAACAAATGTCTAGTGCTTCTCAGTTTAGAATGGTTGTCTAGATAAACCCATTCCAGTGATGTCAACTACAAAACAGATAAGGTTTTGAGATTGTTCAGCTTATGTGAATAATTTTACTTATTAAGAAATGTTTTATTTTAGTTTGTATTAAATTTGATTAAAATTCGAGCAAAAACATTTATTAAATCGGCACATAGTGATAGAGAAACAGAGTCATGGTTTTTCAAAGAATTAATATTAACTATTTCATGGATTCAAACGTCATTTGTACCACAGGAAAACAGACAAAAGGGCATAAACTTGCAATTTCGTTATTGGCATACAGTAGATTATGACCATATTAAAATCAGTATAGTTAAAATAAGGGCACAATACCTCTTGACAACTGATGATAGATATTTCTGGTTTTATATTAATCATGCCTCCTAGCCTTTGTGTATCAAAAGCCGCCGACCAGCAATCTAAAACCTACTCTATCATGAGATTTCCTTATCAACTGTTCTTAAGTACTGTTCATTCTTTTCTTATCTGTATCCATTTCCCAACACAATGTATTCTTTGGTAGGTCCTTTTTAATCTTCCAAGTCAGGGCTTGTTCTATGATGCAATTTGATGTTCTACGCATTGTGTATCGTATTTGCAAACAGGATGGCTTACTACTTTCTTCTTCAGCTGAAAACTGGTTTGTTCTCTGAAAAAGTACGTTATTGCTGCTGATGTCTGACCAACCGACAAGAAGAATCCTGTGTAAACAGTTGTTTATAAACACCAGTACCCTTTTGACGATGGTTGTAGTAGTTCTACAAGTTTCAGCTCCGTCGGACAGAACCCTCTCGACGTTGGTATCGAAGATTCTGATTTTGGTGTTGACTGACAATTGTTTCGAGTTCTAGATGTTCTTCACTTGAAGTAATAATGCCCTTGCTTTGTCAATCACTGCCTTCACATCTGCATGTGGTCGACATGTTTGTCAATGGTGTTGCATACCTACATGGAAGATATCATCTATTCCAGAGTTTCTCCATCTATCACGTGTGATTTGGTTGGTGTTCACTGGGTTATATTTTAGGATATTGCTTATCCTTTTGTATTTGTGGAGACGAAGTTGTGAAGAGACAGTAGCTACACTGTCTGTCTTCACCTACATTTGTTGCTGTGAGTAGGATAGAAGAGCTAAGTCATCTGTGGAGTTCAAATGCTCTGTTTGTATCCATGCTGTTTACTGTATCTGGTGCTTCTTCTAAGGAGTATACGTCCTGATAAATCTTCTGACTGAATGCTTGAATCAGGGTCCTAAATTCTTCAAATAAACTTAAGCTACATTTCAGATAGCATTGGGCATTTGGAAGGTTCCGGAACCCTACTTAACATAGTTTCAGGATAGACGATCACCCAATGAGAAAGGTGACACGTGACTCTTCCCATTCTAGATATTTTTGAGAGACTTCTATTCAATGCTGACTGGATAAAATGTTTCCAGTATTTTCAGGGCCCCTCTGTGAACTCTTTTTGAGGAGTACTCTGGATCTCATCAGTCTTCATAATGTGGTCGATCACCGGAAAGAAGAGAAAAAGCGAGAGTAAACAGTGTTTTCTGATACTGTCCTTCACATAGATTGCATCTGCTGCACTCCATGCATAGACATGAATTGTACTCAATCGTAAGAATTCCGTTTGATGCTGACGATC